AATTAAGATAGGCGGGTATAGTGTGCGGGGGGTAGTGTAGTGTTATGCTAAGTGGTTTAGATCATTACTGTCCTTAAGTGTTGTTGTGATGCGTGTGGGGGTGGTGGGCGTGGTGATGGGCGTGTTGATGGAGTGTGGTGGGCGTATCGTTGTAATAGGAGTGTATATTATCAATTACAAACATATCTACCACTATTTCCCCACTACTCCGCGCCATTACGATTCAACCAATACAATAGTGAAGCCACGAGGAAAAAATCTCTTGTTATCACCGGGAAATAAGATAGCAATAGATAGCTAATTAGTAAAGAAGATGACATATATAATTAATTAATGTCCACCTGGTGTTTATCGGGTTAATTATCGTTATCCGTCGTAATAGTAACCTACTGAATGTTTAAATTAGAGAGGGGACTAATTACGTTTGATTCCTCCCGGCATCTTGATCTACCCAGTGCATGTCCAGTCTTTTCTCTCAGTGGTACTAAATCCTCTGGAGACGTCACCCCCCCACTCCCTACCCCTTCTCTCTCCCACTCCCTACCCCTCTCCCACTCCCTACCCCTCTCTCCCACCCCATACCCCTCTCTCTCCCACCCATACCCTCTCTCTCTCTCCCACTCCCCACCCCATACCCCTCTCTCCCACCCCATACCCCTCTCCCCATACCCCCCTCTCCCCCCACCAGGTATCAGTCGTGTCAAGAGCATTAGACTGTTATCGCTGCCGGGAGGATGTGCAGGTAGAGGAGGAGGAACCCAGCAGTTGTGTTATTTTTTATTTTTTTTAACGCTTGACTGTGGCCCTTGATTAAGTTATCTTGCGTCGCTCCCTGTTTGTCCTCGGTTGGGGAACTGTGGTGTTTTGAATGTGGTACTTGATCTCTCTCTCTCTTTCTCTTCTCTCTCCTCTCTCTCTCTCTCTCTCTCTCTCTCTCTCTCTCTCTCTCTCTCTCTCTCTCTCTCCACACACACAGGTAAGACGTGGCTACAGGTACAATACATTGAGGCTGTGTACACTTCTAAAAAGACGTACAGTAGTTAACACACACACACACACACACACACATAGTAAGTAAAACCAGGTAGGAGGAAAAAGGTAAATATTCTGTTGTTTTTACCTGTTGGTAAGAGAGGGTGAACTGGCAGAGCTGATGTGAGCCAAGTCGCCAACACCTGTAAATTTTGTGGACGTTTTCATTACACGAGCCATCAGTTGGACGGTGAAATATGGCTGTGTTTTGTGTCATATCACGCCTACATACGCACACACACACACACACACACACACACACACGTACATACATACATCAATACACACACCCACACACCTCGCTTGACCCTGACTATTGTATTCGCTGCTTTAATGTGGTCAATACTCATGGAGTCTGTCTGTCTGTCTGTCTGTCTGTCTGTGTGTTTTGTTTATAGTAATGTCATGTAGTATAAATAATGCGTGTTTGTTTGTTTCACATGACTGTATAGGAGTACTGTACTATTAGTTGGCCAATATGTACACGGTATGATATAGTGTAGTTTACTTACAGGATATTAACGTTCTATTTTAATTATGTCACAAGCTGTCTAGATAATTATCACACGTACTAAACAATACCTAACATCAACAGCTAAATGGTCGTTAACATGGAAGGGGTGGGAGGGGGGTCGTTAGAAGGGTCGTTACGGTTGGTTGGGTCAGGCCAAGGGGGGAGTCTCTGTGGAAGGTGATGAGCTGCGTCAAACAAGGCAGTTAGACAATTAAGGAGTGGGTGCCTTTTAGCTAGGGTTTAATAGAGGGTGGTAATGGTAGGGCGGTGACCATTAACATCACGGCGATGGTGGGGAGGTGGGGTGGGGAGGGAGGAAAGGGGTGATGGGTAGAGGGATGGGGAAGGAGGGAAACAGGTGGAGGTGATGGAAGGAGAGGGTGGGGGAGTAGAGGGAAAAACTGGTTGGGAGGGAGGGAAGTAGGAGGAGGAGGAGGAGGGTAAGAGTTTGGATAGCTAAGGGAGGGAAGAGGAAGGAGGTCGAGGAAGCAAGAGAGTAAGCTGGAGAAGGGGGATGGAGGGGAGGAAGGATGGGGGATGGGAGGAGGAAGGATGGGGGATGGGATGGGGGATGGGATGGGGGATGGAGGGAGGAAGGGATGGGGGGATGGAGGGAAAAGAATGGGAGATGAGAGGGAGAAAGGGGGAGTTTTTAATGCTGAAAGGGTTGAAATGGTTTATTGTAGTAGAATAATGACTAGTGTTTAATGGGTGTAGGGAGGGAGGGAGGGAGGGTATTGGAGGGATGAGGGAGGGAGAAAGGGTTAAATATTATGTTGCCATCTCTCGCAATTTATTTATGTGTTCTATAACCAAGTGTCATCAATTTGTATTACATTAATTGGTTATTGCTATGAGTAGTTAAGTGGCTTTTAACTACGCGTATGCAAAGTTCCTTAATCATATGTGAGAGCGATCTTCCTCCCTCCCTTTCCTTCCCCTGTCCTTTCTTTTCCTCCTTCCTTTCCTTTCCTTCCCTATCCTTCCTTCCCCTATCCTTCCTTCCTTCCTTCCTTCCCCTTCCTTCCTTCCTTCCTTCCATCAGGGTTCATAGATAGGACGGAGGACTGACTGTACATATAGGGTTACGTGGGGATGAATCACTAATCTGAAGTGACGTCAACAAAAACACGCGCTGATATACACGCACTAATTGATAGAGAGATTAAGGCCAAGCTATCGTGGATTACTTCTCACATAGGCAGCGAGAAGATGTTCTTGATGCCTTATATAACAGAAGAACACACGTTAATATAATGGTGCTGTTCAATATACGTTTAGACCGTCAAAGAAAAAAAATCAGGAAGAAATGATTGTCAGAGATACACATTTCCTTCCGGGACGTGTTGTGTCTTGTATTATAACCTGATTTCCTGCATTGTTTATATGTATAGACGCTTGGATGAATCATGTCATCTATATAATGATTGTCTTTGTTTTTAAGCCATCGTGTATAAGTCTCGTATTATAACTTGCATTTATTTACATGTATAGACGCTTGGATGAATCATGTCATCTATATATTGATTGTCTTTTGTTTTTTAAGCCATCGTGTGTATTAGTCTCGTATTATAACCTGCATTTGTTTACATGTATAGACGCTTGGATGAATCATGTCATCTATTATTGATCGTCTTTTGTTTTTGAGCCATCGTGTGTGTTTGTCTCGTATTATAACCTGTATTTGTTTACATGTATAGACGCTTGGATGAATCATGTCATCTATTATTGATCGTCTTTTGTTTTTGAGCCATCGTGTGTGTTTGTCTCGTATTATAACCTGTATTTGTTTACATGTATAGAAGCTTGGATGAATCATGTCATCTATATATTAATTGTCTTTTGTTTTAAAGCCATCTTGTGTATAATACCTCCAGCTTTATTGCTCGTGTGTTTAGCTTAAGTACGGGAGTTAATTAAAATCTCCAGCGATTAAATTGGACCTTTAGATGAGAGAGGACAGCATCATTGTGTCTTAATTATAACTTAAGACATGAAAGTTGTCCACGTTAGTCTTTAAATGAGGAAAAAATCATCCCAACTGTAACTGTCTGTGCGGTGGTGTTGGATTATGGAAAGTCTTAAAAAATATGGACACCCCAGAAAGTCTTTAAAAATATGGACACTTATGGACACCTCAGACAAGACACCCCAAAAGCTTAAAATATGTATAGACTCGCCCAGAAAGTATTAAAAAGTGTAGACACCCCTAAGAGTCTTTAAACAATATGGACACCCTCAGAAAGTTTAAAAAATATATGGACACCCCAGAGTCTTTAAAACACGTGGACACCCCAGAAAGTCTTACAAAGGACACCCCAGAAAGTCTTACAAAATATGGACACCCCAGAAAGTCTTAGAACTTATGGACACCCCTCCCCTAGAAAGTCCATACTACGATATCATGATGAACGGCATACAGGCGCATGACCAGCCAAAACACACACAAACACACACACACACACACACACACACACACACACACACACACACACTGAACCACCCTTGCTGATGATGCCTCACAATGACTGCAAGTAATTAAACTGACCATCAAGATACCTACAACAACAGTGTACCAACAAGACTATCGTGTGAGGAAAGTGTATAGCTGGGAAAGTTGGCACTGTGGTGTCGACTTTCTCTTCAGTATCTGGTGGGAAAGTTGGCACTGTGTCCACTTTCTTTTTGAGTATTTGCGCGAAAGTTGGCAGTCGCGAGGGTTTCTAAGTGTTGGAGGTGCTAGATTGTCTGGTTCTTGGAGAGAGAGAGAGAGAGAGTGTGTGTGGTGGTTCTTGGAGGTACAGCGGTGAAAAGTTGGGTGTGTGTAGGTCTTGGGGGTACAAACAACATTACGTTAATTGTCAAGTACTATAAAGCAGAGGAGGTGGTGGAGGGAAGGGAGGGGATGAAAGGAGAGTACCAGGGAGGGAAGGATAGTGGGGAGGGTTGGAGGGGAGGAAGGGGCTCAGGGAGGGGAGGGAGTCGCTGCCGTCGTCATGGCCACCTTGCTCATTATAACCGTAACTCAGGAGTTTAATTAACATAATTTTGAGTTATGTAGATCACGGTAAGTTGCTTCTCCTGGTGATGACTGGGAGGGGGTGACACAGGTGGGTGGTGAAGCGTTAGGTTAGGGCAGATTATGACTGAAATTGTGACACTCTGTCCCTCCTCCTCCTCCAAGGTTACTGTCAACTGTTGTGGTGAGTGTCTGGCCCCTAAAATAAAGTGATGGAGGTTCCATTATTTTCAGGTGTAGTAAGATGCGTATTATAATGCTGCACCGGTTTATTAATATTTATTACTGCCACTGACTTATTAATGAACTGGTGTTTTTCCCCCGAGAACTTTGGAAGTATACTTGTGGTTCCAGGTCGTGGAGTTAGTTAAATGCATTAAGTTAATTTACTCGTATATGAACTGTGTATTAAAGGAGTGTTTTTGTGTGTTTCAGAACAAGGGGGGTGAGACCGCCCTGCACTGCGCGGCGCAGTATGGTCACACTGAGGCGGCGCAGATGTTACTAGCTCAAGGGGGCGACCCAACTGTACCCAACCTACAGGCGGAGACGGCCCTCGACCTGGCCGCGCAGTACGGCCGCCTGCACACAGTGGAGGTGTTAGTACGGGCGCAGCCAGACCTACTGCGCCCTTACACCGTAGCTGCGGCCTGCCGCAGTCTTCCCCCACCCCTTACGCGCCTCCAGGAACGGTCATAGGTGAGTCAGGTGTTGTGGGTGACGACTGGTCACATGGGTCCCAGACCTGATGGTTAGGTTAGGGACCTGTGTGACCTGCACCTCAGTAATGTTGCCATAATGGTGAGGCAGCTGTCCCGCTCTCTCCTCAGCATGACTGTTTACCCTAAACTTGTGATAATGAGAACAGTGTGGTGAGCCTGTGAGGGTGCTGGAACCTTACCCAGAACCGGGTCTTGGCCGGACTAACACTGTCTCATAAAGTTTTCATCAACAAAGTCTTTCGTAACTTAACACTTTAAATATGTGTAAAAATTATTTGTTTTTACTTACATTGTTGTGTACGTGTATAAAATAGTGTATATATAAAATGTATTAGTCTTATTTTGTAAATGAAACCCACACCAAGAGATGAAGACATTACCGAGTATTTTTCTTCATTAGTAAACACTAGGAACACTTGGTCCACTTGTCCAATGAATATTATCAAGCCTCAGGGTGTTGATAATGACCATTGACCTGACCCTTGTACCTGTGACCCTACTGCTTAACAAACCACCTTCATTAGTGAGTAACAAGACCTCGCCCACTCATGTACTCACTCCTACAGGCAACTGAAGAAGGTGTCAAGTCAATATCGAAAGTAACTTTTTTTTTACAACGTCTCCATCTCCTCGTGTGGCTTTGACTTACAAAAGGTTGATATATTTGTTAGTGTGAGCCCTTCAGAGTTTGTCCTACCGGCATTAGTATATTTAATGTTGTCTTCGTCAGTATTGTATATGGCATTGGAATTAATGACGTCATGCAGGTGTTCACAGTTGGTGCCGTATTGTTTCTGGACCGGGTGTGTGTGTGTGTGTGTGTGTGTGTGTGTGTGTGTGTGTGTGTGTGTGTGCTGATGGGGTACATAGAGGTAACACTGTGGGTCAATAAGAGAGAGAGAGAGAGAGTTCCCCAGATACAATATGGCGCCAACTGTGACTCCCGTGTTGACAGGTGTGTGTGATGTAATAACCCAGGTCCGGGAGTCTTAAGCCATGTCGTACGGTCACTATAAAAGCCTCACTATATTTCGTAACTGGAGGTGAGAGACGCAGCTGTGTAGTGACGATAGTGTCATAGTGTAGTCATAAAGTAAGCCAATCAGGTGATCCTGTCTCTGAACCCCAGCGAGATGTAAACAACACAGTGACGGTAAGACTCATTTAGAGACTCCTGGACTACTAATACCGTGTAGTAGCCTAACGCTCAACAACTAACATAGCCTCTTCCCTCTTCCTCCTGCCTCCTCTTCCTCCCACGTTGTGCCTCTTCCACCACCCTCCCGCTCACACTTCTACCTGGTGCGTGGTGGACTGGGCGTGTACGTGGTGGGCGTGGGTACAGGGAGGTGGTGAAGCTACTACTGACGCACGGTCACCATGTTAACGTGCGCACGGGTCAGGAGCCCCCTGCATGAAGCCGCTCTCTGTGGCAAGGTAATGCTAACACACACACACACACACACACACACTGGCAATATATGAACATTTATACAAATTATGCACTCAAACAAACTGGCACTCATTGGATGGCATTTACACATTTTTGGCACTTATAATACACGCACTCGCACTTATAAGGCACTCATAATACACACACTTGCACTTATAAGGCACTCATACCATATACACTCTGACACTCATATATGGCACTCATAATACACACACTCGCACTTATAAGGCACTCATAATACACACCTGCACTTATATGGCACTCTTCCACCTCATATATGGACTATATACACACACTGCATATATGGCACTCATAATACACACCTCGCACTTATAAGGCACTCATAATACACACACTCGCACTTATAAGGCACTCATAATACACACACTCCTTGCTTATATGGCACTCATAATACACACACTCGCATATAAGGCACTCATAATACACACTCGCACTTATATGGCACTCATAATACACACACTTGCATATATGGCTCATAATACACACCTCCTTATATGGCACTCATAATACACACTCGCACTTATAAGGCACTCATAATACTACACACACTCGCACTTATAGCCTTATACCTCCTTATAAGGCCTCTAATACACACACACTCACTTATATGGCACTCATAATACACACACTGCACTTTTGGCACTCATACACACACTGCACTTATAAGGCACTTCATACACACACTGCACTTATATGGCACCTATACACACACACTCGCACTTATAAGGCACTTATACACACACACTCGCACTATATGGCACTCATAATACACACTTGCACTTATGGCACTCATTACACACTGCATATATGGCACTCATAATACACACACTGCACTTATATGGCACTCATAATACACACCTGCACTTATAAGGCACTCATAATACACACACTCTGCACTTATATGGCACTCATAATACACACACTGCACTTATAAGGCACTCATAATACACACACTGCACTTATATGGCACTCATATCACACACTGCACCTATATGGCACTCATAATACACACACTGCACTATAAGGCACCTAATACACACACACTGCACTTATATGGCACTCATAATACACACACTCGCACTTATAAGGCACTCATAATACACACTCGCACTTATATGGCACCTATAAACACACACCTCACTTATATGGCACCTATACACACACCTGCACTTATATGGCACTCATAATACACACACTCGCACTTATAAGGCACTCATAATACACACACTCGCACTTATATGGCACTCATAATACACACACTCGCACTTATATGGCACTACATACACACACTGCACTTATATGGCACTCATAATACACACACTCTGCACTTATATGGCACTACTAATATACACTGCACTTATATAAGGCACTCATAATACACACACTGCACTTATATGGCACTTAATACACACACTCGCACTTATAAGGCACCTCATAATACACACACTGCACTTATATGGCACTACAACACACACCTCGCACTTATATGGCACCTGGGATGGCATTTACATATTCTTGGCACTCAAACACTACGGCACTATAGGGTACTTAGTGTATGGCACTCAAACTTACTTTAAGACACTCACTCTAAAGCACGTACACTCACTATAAGGTAATCCCACTCACTATGAGGCACTTCACACTATAAGGCACTTACATTCCCTTTATGGCTGCTACATCTACGACATATTCACTTTTACTCATTTTCTCACTTTTACTATATTTCACTTTTCACTCATTTTCTCTCACTTTCACTCATTTTCTCTCACTTCACTCATATTCTCTCACTTTTTACCATTTTCTCTCACTCATTTTCTCTCACTTAACTCATTTTTCCTCAATTTTACTGTCATCTTTCTCTCTTCTCTCACTTTCATCTTATTTTTTCCTCTCTTCTTCTCTCACTTCTCTCACTCTGTTCTTTGTTTACTTATCTTCGTTCACTCTCTTATCATCTACTTCTCTCCCACCATCATCTACCCCCTTCCTTCCTTCCTTTATTACCATTCTTACCTCTCACTTCCTCCTTTATTCATTTCATTGCCTATTCCTCCTCTTCCTCAGTGCCTTCCCATCCACCACCGTTATCAACATCTACCATCTACCATTTACGTTATTATTGTCAGGCAGTTTGTATTGTGAGATAGAATTCAAAATGGAGTTCAGAGGATTTAGTCATTATCAGGTATTTTGTATTTGAAATTAAGATTGAAGTCAAAATTATTGTACTTTTAAATTGAAGTCAAAATTATTGTACCTTTAAATTGATTGAAGTCAAAATTGAGGTTAAGTATTATATAGTTGCTTGGACATTATTTGAATTCATATGGAAGTCAAAATTGAGGTTAAGTATTATATAGTTGCTTGGACATTATTTGAATTCATATGGAAGTCAAAATTGAAGTCAAAGAATTACTTAATCATTAATCAATTAGCTACAGTACAGTAGTGGAAATCTCATTGGTGATTGAAGTCAAAATATATAAAAATTGAAAGGATCTTTAAAGTCAAATGGTTTAAATTGATTGGAAAAGTGGAGTATTAAGTCAATTATTTTAAGTGTTAAGTGTAAAGTGATTTTTTCGGATTTTTCCAAGTATTTTGTTCAGTAATAATAACGATGATGTTATTGATGTGTGTGACGTTGTTATTAATTCATGGGTTTTTCTTTTCCTTTTACACTTCCCTCCATTATCACCTCTCCCTTACTCCCTCACCTCACCTCTACCCACGGCACCAACTACATTCTGGCATGGTGGCGTGCGGACCTGGTTGCGGGCGTGGTTGGTGGCGTGTGGACCTGGCTGCGGGCGTGGTTGGTGGCGTGTGGACCTGGCTGCGGGCGTGGTTGGTGGCGTGGCGACCTGCGGTTGGTGGCGTGGCGACACGGGGTTGAGGTGGTGCGTGTGTTGCTGGAGGCTGGGGCGGACCCGGAGGTGCGGGACGACTGTGGTCACACCGTGCTTGACACCATCGCCCTCATCAACACCCCCATCACCCAGGAGATCACCACCCTTATTAAGTGTACGGCTACACCCTGACTTACTGTACTGAGGGGGGAGGAGGAGGAGGGCGCTTACTAAGTGGATTTAAGTGTACGGCTTCACCCTTACTTATCTGTGTACTGAGGGAGGAATCACCCTTATTAAGTGTACGGCTTCACCCTTACTTATCTGTGTACTGAGGGAGGGATCACCCTTATTAAGTGTACGGCTTCACCCTTACTTATCTGTGTACTGAGGGAGGAATCACCCTTATTAAGTGTACGGCTTCACCCTTACTTATCTGTGTACTGAGGGAGGGATCACCCTTATTAAGTGTACGGCTTCACCCTGACTTATCTGTGTACTGAGGGAGGGATCACCCTTATTAAGTGTACGGCTTCACCCTTACTTATCTGTGTACTGAGGGAGGGAAGGAGTAGAGAAGGTGGCGAGGAAAGGAAGGAGTAGGGTAGAGGCGAGGGAAGAGAAAGGAAGGAATAGAGGAGTGACTAGGGAATGAAAGGAATAGGACGATGGAAGAGGCAGTATCGTTGATCCATAAAAGGGTATTGGAATATATTAGTAGATCAGTATAAGGATGACGCATTATATACCCACTGAGACTATAGAAAAGGAAGGAAGGAGGTAGAAGGAAGGAGGGAAGGAGAAGGAGGGAAGGAGAATGCGACAAGACTGGGGTCACTGATGTTTGTGTTCTTAGTATAGCCTAAACGTAACCTTGTGATTATATGTAGTGTTGAAGTATATATGTGTGTGTTTATGTCTCGCCGTTCAATGGGTGTCGTAAAAAAAAAAACCCCACAATAAGGTATACTTTTAATTGTAGTGTTTTAATATAGAAACTTCATCACATACAGTATAATAGACCGAGATATTTAAAGTTAAGTAGTTTTTTTTGTTTTTTTTTTGGCCGCCAGAGGTTCCTATATCCTGGCTGTTCTTAGTTACTTAATTGTGTCTTTGTCTAATTAGATATCGTTTTAGCTTTAATTCATTAGTGTTTTGATACCTTCACGTCTATTTATCTTTGTGGTGAAGATAGTCAGGTGTGTATATGATTACCCTGAAGGACGCCAGGTATAAGGCACCTCTGGTTATATAGTGTGGTAGGTGATTTAATATATATATATATATATATATATATATATATATATATATATTATGCACACATGTTGTCCCTTTGATAGCCCGCCGCATACCTATCACCACTACTGTAGCTGTAAAGTAACTTACCCTCGCTATGTGTGTGTGTGGCCACGTAATAATAATAATCTTAGCTGCTATGGAATGGTAATTGTTGCTTTTCATTTATTTTATTTTGTATTATTGTTTTGTTTTAGTTGTATTTAAATGGTACTTTGCCCCGTGCATGTTTTAAATATTTTGTATATGATGATTTTTTTGATATTTATTTTGGCTTTAATTCCTCTTCCTTCTCCTCCTCCTTCTTCCTTCCTTCCTTTCTCCTTGCCCTCTTCCTTCCCCCCCTCCTCCCTTACCACCGTCACCCCCCCTTCACCACCTACCCTCTACATATACATTCTCTACACACACACACACACTCACACACACACACACACACACACACACACACACACACACACACACACACACACTGCACTCCATATACAGTACACATGAAACGTCACCACACACACACACACACACACACACACACACACACACACACACACACACTTTATAAATGTTTTACCTTCAATCTGTAAATGTTCACACCCCACCATCACTACCACCCCTATAAATGTTCAACTTTTAACCTTAAACGTTCACCCCCCAAATGTTAACTACTCCTCCCCACGAACCCCCCTTAAAAACGTTCTATATCCAATAAACGTTCCCTGCTTGATAACCCCACCACCACGTATACCCATACGCCACACCACCCACCACCACACACACCCATACGTCACACCACCACCACATACACCCATACGTCACACCACCACCACATACACCCATACGCCACACCACCTCCACCACCACATACACCCATACGTCACACCACCTCCACATACACCATACCACCTTTAAACACGCAACTCTGTCACATCTACACTACCACACACTCACACACACGCCATCTACAATAATTTCCACTAAAACAACATTTCCACCATATGTATACCACCAACACATTGCTGACACCAATGCCAACACTACCAACACCACCTGTCCACTGCACTACCACCACCTGACCACTACACTACCACCACCTGACCACTACACTACCACCATCTGTCGAATACACTACCACCACCTGACCAACACATTACCATCTGACTACTGCCAACACCCCACTACCATCACCACCTGACTACTACACTACCATTACCACCACCTGACCACTACCAACACCCTACCACCACCACGTGACCACTACACTAACACAACACGCCCACGACGCCTTCCATATGGCCGCTGGTGGTATCGGTGGGGGGTCGCCCGTCCTGGTGGTGGTGACGCTGGTGCAGGCCACAACCAGCTCATCAGTCTGGACGAGGACGACGAGGGCGCTGGTGAGCCGCCCTCTTGGCCGCCGCCCATCTGGCCGCCGCCCTCCCTGCCGCCTATACCCACGCCCTCGGAACTGGGCTCGCCTTACGAGAATGTTCTCATCCCTACCATCCTTCACCCAGAGCAGCACACAGGTATGGTAATCCCTCCTCCAGGGCCCGACTGTTTATCCTGCCTCCTGTAGGACCCCTCACTCTACCCCCCCCTTACCCTCACTACCACCCCACACATCCCTCCCACACCATCCCTCCCCACACACACCATCGTTCACACACCATCCCTCCCTCCCTCCTCACCCCACATACCATCCTCCACCCCTACATACCATTCCTGCCCACCCACCCACCCACACACACAGTCCTCCCCCCCCCACACACACACAGTCCCTCCCCCCACACACAGTCCCTCCTCCCACACACAGTCCCCTCCCCACACAGTCCCTCCCTCCACATAGTCCCTCCCACACACTCCTCACACACATCCCCCACCCCCCCATACACAACCCCCCCCACACACCCCACACCCCCCCCCACATACACACCCCCACACCCCCCCTTCCCACCAGAGCAAAGACACAGGAACTGATCCAGTAAACATGAATCAGCTGATCTAGTAAACACGAGTCAGCTGATCTAGTAAACACGAACCAGCTGATCTAGTAAACACATAACAGCTGATCTAGTAAACACGAGATAGGTTACTCATAGCTATAAACACGAACATAATATACCCATACGATTGGAACAAGAGAACAGGTATTTAAAACATTATGTAAATAGAAAGAAAAATAAAAACCAGGTGATGAAGAGACGTAAACACACAGCAGCAGCAGCAGCGTGTGTTGTGGTCGGCGAGGGTGAAGGGCTGACCAGAGCCGAGATAACAGAGATTAACAGAGATAACTCGACACATCATCTATAATAGGGAAGAGCTGAAGCCAGTAAGATGCATCCTTTTCTGTGCAATTTGCAATGAATATTATTTTGTTGTTAATTACGGAATTGTGTGATGGTTATTTACCTTGTAGTGTGAGTGTGAAGTTGTGATTGTGACTTTATTCTGATTATGTAGAGCGATTATGGATATTTCTTCATTTATTTTTGAATGCTCTTGTCCAGTAATTTTTATGTTTTTTTTTTTTATTTTAGAATGCGATCGTGGAAATACAGTAGTGTATTTTGATAATGTTGGATGCTAATGCTGTGCTGTAGACGTCATAGGCGATAAGTAATATATAAATTTTAGGCTTGTAGGCAGCGTCTGTAATGCCATGTACAGTATAAAACCCAGATGTAGTACTTTTAAGCTGATAGACATTACTTTTAAGCTGATAGACATTACTTATAAGGCGATAGGCAGTGCTTTAAGTGAATGATCGGGAGAAATTGGTTGGTTTAAGAATATTTACTTAATCCCCGTCTTCATTTTCCTCCCCCTTCCTGTTGACTGTAGATGGCGAGAGTTTGTCCAGGTTATCCGAGAACAGAGCCAGCAGCCGAGCGTCAGATAGAGAGAGCCGGGCGTCGGATAGAGAAAGCCGAGCGTCGGATAGGGAGAGCCGGACGTCGGATAGAGAGAGCCGAGCGTCGGATAGAGAAAGCCGGATATCTGACCGTGATGGCCGGACGTCCGTGGCGAGCCGGGTGTCTGAGGCCACATCTGACTGGTCCATCTATGACGTCCCTCCACCGCCCAAGACTGTCGGGGGCAGTGACCGTGGCTCACTGTCCTACCGCAGCCAGACCTCTGAGTGAGTACTTCCCTTCCTCTTACCGCAGCCAAACCTGAGTGAATACTTCCCTTCTTACCACAGCCAGACCTCTTGAGTGAGTACTTCCCTTCTTACCGCAGCCAAACCTGAGTGAGTACTTCCCTCCCTCTTACCGCAACCAGACCTCTTGAGTGAGTACTTCCCTCCCTCTTACTGCAGCCAGACCTCTTGAGTGAGTGCTTCCCTCCCTCTTACCGCAGCCAGACCTCTTAGCTAATATGTCCCTATCTGTCCTAATTTTCTAGCAGTCTAATCCTAATGAGTCCCGATCTTGATGGTTAGTTTAGGACCTGTTAGAACTGGGGGGGGGGGGTTATTGTGTGTGTGCGTGCGCGCGTGCGTGCAGTAAAAGGTTAGGTTAGGTTACAAAGTATCCTGTTACAGTGTTCATGTTGCACACTTTTACTGCTGTAATGATGTAATAATGATAGAGCTACGGGCCCCTGTTCTAATAGGCCAAGAGGACTGGGACCCGTTAAGACTTGAGCCTCACTTAAGGTAATTTAGGTTAGGTCAGGTCGAGTTTGGTTGGGACACTTAAGAGGCGAAAACCTGTGAGTTAGAGTATAGTAGGTTGACCCTTATTACCAGTTGGGCTCATTGTATAAAGTTTAGGTTGAGGCTTAAGACTGAACCCATTACTTGAGACGAGAGCCTATTAGAAAATGGAGTTCTTATATTAGATTGGGGCCTGTTAGGACTGGGGGCTCATTTGGGGCCTGTTAGGACTGGTTCCATTGGTAAGAGATCAATGGTATATTGTTATCGTTATTTTGTGTGAGTTATTTTACGATTATTTTATTGGTAATAGTTTCACGTGATAGTAGTAGTGGTAATAGTGGTTGTAATAGTTGTAGTTGTAGTGGTAGTAATAGTGGTTGTTGTACTGGTAGTAATAGTATTGGTTGTTGTATTAATTGTTTGTAATAAAAGGTGTGGTAGTACTACAGTAGTAGTTATAGTAATTATAAATACTACGTGTAGGAGTAACAGTAATAAAGTACAGTATAGTTTTATTGCTCATTGAAGTCTACGTAGTTAACACATGGCGTTTAAAGTGGTACAGCGTGGACGTAATATTTAGTGTGTGGAGCGGAAGGTTACGAGGAGGCGCTAAAAGCCGGCGGTGGCGGGTGATCCGGCGTAAGCGTGCATCAGCTGATCGGGCGTAAACACACATCAGCTGTAGCGCGCATCAGCTGATAGGGCGTAAACACCCATCACCTCTGGTTGTGAAGCGTCCCCCCCCCCCTTGTCTCTAGGGTTTTAGCATACACAATACAGTATTTTATATTGTAAATAATGTTGCCGTTATTGATAAAATACAGGCAGGGGTTTATGATTATTGTTGTTTTTACACGGTTCAGTGGAGGGAAATCCGGCTTGGTGGTGAATGGCGGGGTGAACAGGGCGAATGTGGATAGCTAAAACCACCGTACCCAGGGAGGCTCTGTTGCGTGTACACACAGGTTGATCCCACGTGTTGTGTTGATTGGTGGCTGGAAAAAATGACCCCAGTTCTGAGTTGTTAACCTAACTTAACCTCAGTCCTGTTGGTTTAGTTAGATAAGGTTATTAAAACTGAATCTCAAGTTTTTAACGCCAAATGTACGAGTAGAAGTTAGGCTAGGCTAGGCTAGACTAGGCTAGGCTAGACTAGGCTAGGTTGGGTTTGGTTATAACTTTGGCTGTGTTACGTTAGGCTTGGTTGGTGTACTGTATATAATGTTAGGTCGGGTCGGTTTAGGTTGAGTCAGGTTAGGTTATGCCCCGTTTAATATTAATGCAAATACAATAAAGTAAAAAGGAAGAGAAATAGAAAGCTTATATTAGAAGTACCTGTGTAGGTGTAGTGCTCAGGGTATACTGTAGTACCAAAGGTGTAGTGCTCAGGGTATACTGTAGTACCAAAGGTGTAGGTGTAGTGCTCAGGGTATACTGTAGTACCAAAGGTGTAGGTGTAGTGCTCAGGGTATACTGTAGTACCAAAGGTGTAGTATGTGACCGTGGGTGTTAGTGGTCATGGGTGTATCTCCCTCACAGGTGTGGTGATGACGACGGGGTGTACGAGGTTCCTCCACCTCCTCGTTCTTGCCGCAGCTCTACGGCCTCCCTCAGGGCGTCCCGGGATTCGCGGCATCTACGGCCCTCCTCTGATGAGCTCCAGCCGCAGCAGTCGTCGGCTCCCGCAGCCACCAGCCCTGGCAGCACATCCTCTAGCAGCGTCGCTGTCACCAGGCGCGGCGGGGGTGCCCCTGCTGGCTCTGACTCCTCCGGCAGTAAGGTAGTAGAAGTGAGTAGGAAGTGCATGATGCTGCGCCACCACCACCACCTCCTTCACCGACCCCAGCAGTAGTTGTGGCAGCAGTTACCAGTCCCCCACTCTATGGCATCAGTGTACACACTTGTTGTGCCCAGTGTTACCGAGCACACCACTGATAGTGCCCCTACCCCCCTCCTTCGCCAGCAAGCACACTACTCTCCCACCCAGCAAGCACACCCCACCCTCCCCCAGCTCCAGCAAGCACCGACGCCAGTGGAACCTTCCCTATTATTATTTGGTTGTGGACCCACTAGAAGCCACGCTCATAGTAGTGCTGCATCGCTCCTCGTTCTGCCCAGCAGCTCCTCTTGGGGGGGGGGGGTTCTGTACAGTAAATATTTATATCAGTGTACAGATACGACTACTGTAGGTGTATAGATATGGATCTTGTCATTAATGAACCAGGCTAAAAGTGCCGCTGGCAGGGTCCTGTACTGTAAATATTTATATCAGGGGAACAGAGAACCTTTATCGTTATTGAAACTTGGTATTTACTTTATATGACGTCATCTAGCCATCCATGAGAGACCCAGCTATAGTCACATGTCCGTGAGGTAGAGGCAGCCCCGGGCTGTATGACGTCAAGAAGGGGCGCCTGGAATTGTTTGAATGAACCTTTACCTTAACACCATGTATTTAGCGTCTTCCATATGTTGACCGTTTAGGGTCACGAGTTGACCTCCTAGTCCTTCCCCAAGGTGCAAGAGTCCTGTTAGATCCCCTTGTATTTATGTTATTGACTTATGCCGCCCCAGTGTTTTAATTTTGGGTTAAAGTCGTCGCCCTCGACCCCAGTCCCCCACATGTACTGTACCTCAGTCAGTGATGGTCTCTCCCCATAAACGCTTCCTCACAGTCATATAAGCCGTAGACAGCCAGAACCTTGTGGCTCATGACAGATGCTTTACCCGTGTCCCAGTTATTGTCCAGTGCTGCTTGTTGTGTTGGCGTGTAGTACTGCCCTCTGGTGCCTTATGTTGGTGCCCACACTGTGTGCCTCACGTGTTGCCTCCTGTATGTGTCGGTGCCCACACTGTGTGCCTCACCCTCACGTGTTATTTACAGAGGTGCCTCATTGCAAGTGCTAGTGTTTAGTATTGTGTACAGTGTCGCCTCGCGTTCAGTGATAATTATGATATTATTTACAATGGTGTTATGGCCTGGTGTTGCTTAGTGGTATATACTCGCTTAGTGTTTACAGTGGTGATTAAAGCATAGCATTTTCCCAGTGTCTTGTTTACAGTATTTTTAGAGTACTTAATATTATGAGTACAAGTCTTAATGTAATGGACCCCCGCAACCAATGGTTAATTGAGGCTACATCTGTGGTCTATTACGATTGGTCTATCAGATCTATGGTCTATTAGGATTGGGCTGTCAGGAGTGGCCTATTATAGCTGTAACCCATCAGAACTGTGGCCCATCAGAACTGTGGCCCATCAGAACTGTGGCCCATCAGAACTGTGGCCACTTTGATCCATAAACATCTCTCTGACTCGAGTACATGATGCCCAAATACATGTTAATGCCCTCCTCCATCATGCCCCGACTCTTGTTATTGCCCTCTCTATCATGCCCTGACTCTTGTTAATGCCCTCTCTATCATGCCTTGACTCTTGTTAATGCCCTCTCTATCATGTCCTGACTCTTGTTAATGCCCTCCTCTATCATGCCCTGACCTGTTAATGCCCTCTCTATCATGCCCTGACTCTTGTTAATGCCCTCCTCTATCATGCCCTGACTCTTGTTAATGCCCTCCTTTATCATGCCCTGACTCTTGTTAATGCCCTCCTCTATCATGCCCTGACTCTTGTTAATGCCCTGATGCCTGACTCTTGTTAATGCCCTCCTCTATCATGCCCTGACTCTTGTTAATGCCCTCCTCTATCATGCCCTGACTCTTGTTAATGCCCTCCTCTATCATGCCCTGACTCTTGTTAATGCCCTCCTCTATCATGCCCTGACTCTTGTTAATGCCCTCCTTTATGACCGGTGACCCTCGCCTTGATACATTAAGGGGAAAAACATCTTTTAATGCCAATAGCAGCGAGTTTTTTTTTTCCTTTTTTCTTCTTTTCTTTTGTTTTCTTTGTGGTGCGCTTTTTTGTTTTGACTTTTATTTGTTTTATTTTAGTTTTCTTGTATTTATCTTTATTTTGAAGGTTAATTGACATATTGACTAAGCTGACTTTTATATTAGTGTCATGAGCAACTATCCATAATCTGTCATGACTGATTGATTGGTGATTGGCAACAAGACTCAGCCAGCAGTAGCCAATCAGCTATTAGGATTCATGATAGTAGTTAAGGATGTCTTTAAAAAAATCATGGGTTAATGAGGAAGGTTGTTAGGGATGGTGGGATAGATTAGTAGTTAGGGTGATTATTATTGGGGTGATTCGTTGGTTGATATTGTGTTTTATTGGTGTTTTTTTTTACCTGTGTTTTATCTTTATTAATGATGTTTATCTCTCTCTCTTTCTCCCTCTCTTTCCTGCCATGCCTTCATCCACGTTTTGAAACCTATCTGTAAACACACACACACACACACAACTACCTGATCACTGCCTTGCCATTACACTTACCTATGTACGTTCTTGTTATCTATTAAACACACACACACACACACACACTCCACTCACTCACATGGTCCACCTACCCACCCTATTTCCACCACACCATTTCGGTTCCTGTTTCTGCCGCCCAACAACCACCACAGCCTCTGCCGCCGCCCAAGCCGCCCCGTCGATCTATGTACCCGCCCTCCCCGACTCCAGATGCTGACCAGGACGCAGCTACCTACGAGACCATCTACTTCAAGGGACAAGACCAGGTCAGTTGTCGTCAAGGTGTGGTAGTTGTGTTGACGAGGTTACATCTAGTTATGGGTGGGTGGGTGGGTGGGTGGGTGGGCGGGTGTGGGTATGGGTTTTGTGTTGTGTGGGGAGGGAGGAGGGGGTGAATAAGCCTCAACCTAACCTAACCTGCGTGGATGGCTCTATGGGTGGTATAATTACACTATACATATTCCTTCCCATTCAGGCGTAGTTTAATATGTACAAATGTTCCTCCATATACCCGTAGTTTGGCTGGTATTATATCGGGTGTCGGTCCTGGGTTTGTTTACATTATATCGGGTGTCGGTCCTGGGTTTGTTTACATTATATCGGGTGTCAGTCCTGGGTTTGTTTACATTATATCGGGTGTCGGTCCTGGGTTTGTTTACATTATATCGGGTGTCGGTCCTGGGTTTGTTTACATTATATCGGTGTCAGTCCTGGGTTTGTTTACATTATATCGGGTGTCGGTCCTGGGTTTGTTTACATTATATCGGGTGTCGGTCCTGGGTTTGTTTACATTATATCGGGTGTCAGTCCTGGGTTTGTTAACATTATATCGGGTGTCAGTCCTGGGTTTGTTTACATTATATCGGGTGTCGGTCCTGGGTTTGTTTACAGTACTGTCTCTCAATAATCGGGTCTGTTTACATGGTCATCGTGGGGTGTTTACCTTGGCTTGTGAGGATAAATTAAGTCAGGTCAGGTTAGGTTAGATTGGGTAAATTTGGGTTAGGTTAGGTTAGATTGGGTTAAGTTAAGTTAGATTGGTTTAGGTTAATTCAGGTTAGGTTAGGATATTCCACGTTCAGTTTAGGGGACAGTTAACCGATGTCAAGTTCAGATTAAGCTAGATTTAAGTTTAGATAAAGTTTAACCAATAGACAAACTTTACTTTCCGTTTGTCGATAATGTGGTGTTGATGATCCCGTAGTGTGTGTGTGTGAACTGATCAAATGGGCCCCTGTGTTAGTAGACCCCACCCAGTCCTAATGGGCCCCAGTCTTAATGTACTACCTCTCACTATCCCAATGTATCCTAATCCCACTAACTTAATCCCATTGCACCCCCCAAAGTATCCTAATCCCAATGTACCGCAATCCTAGAGAGAGAGAGAGAGAGAGAGAGAGAGAGAGAGAGAGAGAGAGGACTGGCCTGACTGAGGTGCATGGGTGGTGGTGTGAGGAGGAACAGACTGTGGTAGAAGACTCTCGGTGACCTCAACTCTCCCATGTGTGCTGACCCCCTGCTTCTCTCCTCCTCGCATGCAGTCTGACTATGATAATGTGGAGACCGTATGTATTTCTCGCGTTTTTTTCTTTAATTATTTGTTTTTTTTTATTTTTCTCGTTTACTTATTGTTACGTGGTTTTTATTATGGGAACGAGTCACTTTTTTTTTAGTTGTTTTATTTATTTATTCGTGTTTATGTTGTATCAGCTGTTGTTTGTTTATGATGTATCAGCTGTTGTTTGTTTATCTTGTATCAGCTGTTCTTCTGCACACCTTAATGAGCGGGAAACAACGTTGCCTGTTCCTGTATTATCCGTTGTATACCATCAGTTACTGTAATCTGGATTGTATTAGTTTTTTAAGCATTTTACTTTATTTTCTTGATTTTTTTTAAACTTAAATTAACAATAATGATATTTTTTTTTAACCATTTGAGATTTATTACCGATTTATTTAATGTATTGTGCATTGTATTGTGCCTGTTGGTAGCGTTGATGAGGTGTGATTGTTTCGCACCATACTGTAGTGTTATGTTCACCAGCACTGTAGGTTAGGTTTAGAATATTTAGCCTCTTATAATATGTACTCGTGTATACTGTATTGTAGGAGGCTAGACGTCGTTTTCTACACCACGCGCTGTGTTGGTAAAATCATCAATTAATATTTCTATAACTTTTTGACGATATTTTTATTATATTTGTTTTTATTTTGTCCTCAAGATTCATCAAATTAATGTCACAAACTTTTTTAATGGAGCTTCTTGTTCACTTAAAGTCATTGTAGTATTTTTATGAAGATTTTTATTTTAAGGAAAGTAATATATATATATTTTTTTAGTTATAACACAATGCGTTTTATGTATACCAGGTAATATCGTTGTTGTTTAAGTTTCATAACTCAGTCAACAAAACGTGTGTGTGCCTATCAGTGAAGAGTAAATAACAGTTGAAGCTTCCATGTTAAGAGTAGCTCGTGTATGATAGCCTACCTCCCCCTCTCCCTCTTTCTCCCCCTCTCCCTCTTTCTCCCCCTCTCCCTCTTTCTCCCTTCCCCTCCACCTCCCTCTTCTCCCTTCCCCTCCACCCCTCTTCCCCCTCTATCTCCACGTCCCTCTTGTCCTCCCTCCCCTCCCTCTCCCTCCTCGCTCATCCACCTCCCTCCCCCCCCCATCCCATCTTCCCCCTCCACTATCCCCCCTTCCCCACCACCTCCCCCCTCCCTATTTTTTTCCGACTGATCGCTCCCATCCAATGCTTCAGCTGTTTTATCAGACGCTCGACGTGATTGGCCCCAAACAAACTAAATCCAGCCTGAAATAGCCACTCTAAGGGCCCTCTTGTAATGTGTGGCAGTTCTAATTAGGCCCCAGTCCAAATGGGCCCCAACATAACTAAATTACTGTGAATATGTAAATCTAATCTTATGTGAATGTAATTGAAACCCAATCGTAATAGCTGGGATTAGGGCCTATTAGGACTGGGGCCCAGTTTGACTTGTAACCACTTCCCAGTACTGTAGTGAGTTGAGCACCAAGGTTACAGCAGCGTAATCCTGTAGTGGCACGGTAGTCACATCACTGAACTGTATATTCTGTACTAATGGATCGTATACAAAAAGACTGTAAAATTCATTCGTTTATACTTTATTGTGTCATTTATACCAGAGACGTACAAGAGGGAGGAAGTTAATGCAGATTCTTGGTTGGATTTTTCATGTGACGAGGGAAGGGAAGGAAGGTGACATCATATAACAAGTAGTGACGTCATATAGCATGCAACGACGTCATATAGCAAGTAGCGACACTGGATCTTAGCGGTCGGGGTGTGAATTACCATCCACGATAAGAAATATATATACACGTATTTTTCAACATTAAAATACCTTCAGAAAATCAGTTATCAGTGGATCCTTAGTTACAATTATTTACAGATATAAACAGCTTTACCCTCTGATGTACTTCTCGTTATATGGTAGTTACCTTATGACACCTTCCAATATCATTTAGTTAAGTCTTAAATGAGGATTAATAATACGTCTGGAGATTAATGATGCGATAATCTGTTTTGAGAGAAAGTAGTTAAGTTTAGACTTTATTAAGACGTCGTGTGTGTGTGTGTGTGTGTGTGTGTGTGTGTGTGTGTGTGTGTGTGTGTGTGTGTGTGTGTGTGTGTGTGTGTGTGCAGCACTTAAGTTGTTCGGTTACGTGTTTAAAAGTCACATATAAGTGTCACCATATTATGTAGGTCCTTGATGACGTGTTTTAAAGTCACATATAAGTGTCATTGCGTCATGCAGATCCTTAGTGACGTGTACAAGTCACATATAAGTGGCACCACGTTATGTAGATGTTGATAACGTGTTATTATAGATGTGACGTCACCATGCAGGTATATAATGACGTGTTTAGAAGTCACATATATCTGAAGTCACATGTAAAGACCTCGCCATAAGGATGCTAATGATGTTGTTATGTCACATATATAAAACACCACGTCACATATACCTGATGATACGTTACACACCTGGGTAAATATACTCCACCTGTGCAGTAAGACAGAACAGGTGTGGGAGTGTTGTAGCAAGACTGTGTGCCATACCATCTTGTAGTGTTGCACCTGACAATGTTGTTATTATTATTATTATCTAAGTAACTCCTCTATTTATTATTTTTTTACTTGTTTACCTTTATTGTTTACTAAAGCAATCTTGTACTCGTGTATCTGTTGTTTACTTCTTGTTATCCATAGCATTTTGACTTGTTATCACTTCTCTTGTTATCTGTCTCTTTACATCACCTGGTTTATGTTATCATCTACTGCTCTTCTGTTCCTCTTTTATCATCTTATTCTGTCTATTTCATATTCGTCTTATCAACTACATGTATACACCTTGTTGACAGTGCTGTGTGTACATTTTCTGAGACGCCCTGTACGTATATTCTTCTTCTTCTTCTTCTTCTTCTTCTTCTTCTTCTTCTTCTTCTTCTTCTTCTTCTTCTTCTTCTTCTTCTTCTTCTTCTTCTTCTTCTTCTTCTTCTTCTTCTTCTTCTTCTTCTTCTTCTTCTTCTTCTTTCTTCTTCTTCTTCTTCTTCTTCTTCTTCTTCTTCTTCTTCTTCTTCTTCTTCTTCTTCTTCTTCTTCTTCTTCTTCTTCTTCTTCTTCTTCTTCTTCTTCTTCTTCTTCTTCTTCTTCTTCTTCTTCTTCTTCTTCTTCTTCTTCTTCTTCTTCTTCTTCTTCTTCTTCTTCTTCTTCTTCTTCTTCTTCTTCTTCTTCTTCTTCTTCTTCTTCTTCTTCTTCTTCTTCTTCTTCTTCTTCTTCTTCTTCTTCTTCTTCTTCTTCTTCTTCTTCTTCTTCTTCTTCTTCTTCTTCTTCTTCTTCTTCTTCTTCTTCTTCTTCTTCTTCTTCTTCTTCTTCTTCTTCTTCTTCTTCTTCTTCTTCTTCTTCTTCTTCTTCTTCTTCTTCTTCTTCTTCTTCTTCTTCTTCTTCTTCTTCTTCTTCTTCTTCTTCTTCTTCTTCTTCTTCTTCTTCTTCTTCTTCTTCTTCTTCTTCTTCTTCTTCTTCTTCTTCTTCTTCTTCTTCTTCTTCTTCTTCTTCTTCTTCTTCTTCTTCTTCTTCTTCTTCTTCTTCTTCTTCTTCTTCTTCTTCTTCTTCTTCTTCTTCTTCTTCTTCTTCTTCTTCTTCTTCTTCTTCTTCTTCTTCTTCTTCTTCTTCTTCTTCTTCTTCTTCTTCTTCTTCTTCTTCTTCTTCTTCTTCTTCTTCTTCTTCTTCTTCTTCTTCTTCTTCTTCTTCTTCTTCTTCTTCTTCTTCTTCTTCTTCTTCTTCTTCTTCTTCTTCTTCTTCTTCTTCTTCTTCTTCTTCTTCTTCTTCTTCTTCTTCTTCTTCTTCTTCTTCTTCTTCTTCTTCTTCTTCTTCTTCTTCTTCTTCTTCTTCTTCTTCTTCTTCTTCTTCTTCTTCTTCTTCTTCTTCTTCTTCTTCTTCTTCTTCTTCTTCTTCTTCTTCTTCTTCTTCTTCTTCTTCTTCTTCTTCTTCTTCTTCTTCTTCTTCTTCTTCTTCTTCTTCTTCTTCTTCTTCTTCTTCTTCTTCTTCTTCTTCTTCTTCTTCTTCTTCTTCTTCTTCTTCTTCTTCTTCTTCTTCTTCTTCTTCTTCTTCTTCTTCTTCTTCTTCTTCTTCTTCTTCTTCTTCTTCTTCTTCTTCTTCTTCTTCTTCTTCTTCTTCTATTTCTTCTTCTATTTCTTCTTCTTCTTCTTCTTCTTCTTCTTCTTCCAATCAGAAATATATGAAACTTGTGTGTGAAGTAAAGTTCTATTAATGATATATAACAGACAGTGGTTTAGGTGTACTGTGTGGTATGTATACGACAATATAAAATTTATCTATTGTCTCTCCTCTCTCTACCTACCCCCCTCTCTACCCTCTCTACCTACCCCCCTCTCTACCTACCCCCTCTCTACCTACCCCCTCTCTACCTACCCCCTCTCTACCTACCTACCTACCCCTCCTCTCTACCTACCCCCCTCTCTACCTACCCCCCCTCTCTACCTACCCCCCTCTCTACCTACCCCTCTCTACCTACCCCCTCTCCTCCCACTCCTCTCTACCTACCCCCCTCTCTACCTACCCCCTCTCTACCTACCCCCCCTCTCCTACCTCCCCCCATCTTACCTCCCCATCTACCTCCCTCTCCTCCTACCAGTCTGATTACGAAAACGTGGACGTACAGCAGCAGCAACACAGGTCACGCCCCACCTCCTCTAGCTTCAGTCAGCCGGCGACCCACGACAGTTCCGACTCCGACTACGAGACGCCGCGGCCCCTACACACCGCCCACGCCCACGCCCACTCCAATAGGGTAAGTGTTCCTCCCATGCTTTCTCTATCTCTCCTCTCACCTCTGATTACTGCAGTACTGTACTACCACCAGCTGCTGATGTGCACCCCACGGTAACACGCACAGTCCAACCTCTTGAGAAGTACCGCAGCTTCACTACACTGAGCTAAATTTCATGTACTGTAGCTACCCCCTTGTTGTATCTCTTAGTGTGTGTCGATAAAACGCGGCAGTGTGTCTAATGTTTTTTTGGGGGGGGGATTTCTGTTATTTAAGCTATGATATTAACAAGTTGCTATGGGTCATTTCATATTATTTATCATGACATCACGACCAAGAAGGTTTTGACGCCGCCAGACTTATGAGACAGTTGGTGTTGAAAGGCAGCACAGGAAGCCGTTCTCTGTCGCAGTCTACAATGTTTACTAAGGAAAAGCTTCAACCTGTTTGCTTGTTTATAAGGGAATAATTAACTTAGCTACTTACCCCAGTCAGATTCTTAAACATGTCCTAATGAACGAGATTGGACTGTGCTCGTGTGCTTATATTGGTGTAAGGAACTCGTTCTTAATTATGCAGATATATCTAATGGGATCACATAAGCTTAGCATATAGTTAACTGGCTGTGAAAGGTGTTATAGCCCAGCTAAAGCTGTTTATGATATACCATGAGTTGAAGGTGTTATAGCCAGCTTGCAGCAGCTTCACTGTGCTTGACAATCTGGTCCGTGTTGGAGGTGAGCGGACCTTCACCACCCCCTACACCCTCCTACCCTCCCTCGCCAGATGTACAGCACCATATCCTTCAAGCCGGTCAAGAGCCGGCGCACCTCCAAGCTCAAGGACCCGCACGTCTACGAGAACACGATTCACCGATACGAGAACATGAAGGAGCGTTACCAGACCCTGCGAGACCGGAACCACAGAGACAAGAAGGACTACCACCACCACAACGAGAACATCTTACAACACCAGCAGCAGCGGCAGGACAACACGCGAGAGCAACGCAACGAGAACCTACGAGATCGCAACGAAAATGTACGGGACCGCAACCTCCAAACATTGCCCAGGCGGCCTAGGGCGTCTTCGGCTTACGCCAAGATCGGCTCGAGGCTCGACTCCTCTGATGATTCTGACGGGGATCACCGACCCAGGACCTTGGAGTTCCGGGAGAGTAAACCCAAGGTAAGAGGCTCCTGCATGACACCACCTCCCACACTCACACACTACCAGCCAGTCGTCTTAAGGAGAAGCACGGTGACTTTGCCTGTGCCTGCTTCCCCACTAACCATTCTGTATCTTGAACATACTGTCGGCCACATTCTAACCACCATGTTGGTTGAACCTTTATTACTCGTACCATTAAAGAGAGCGCCACTCCAGGCAGGAAGGTAAGAGGATGTTCGTGTGGTGTAAAACTTCATATCAGCGTGTAATGGCGGGGTGGAGAAGAACGTCAGGCACTGTTGATTGCTCGTGGTGGCACTGTTTTTATGGTACAATATGGTACAATATGTTCAAAATACCAGACATGTGTTGTGGGAGAAGAGATAAGATTTTTCTGTTGTGTGACTTTTGGCCCGGTGGATATTTCACATTTTGGTCGGCCTAAATTAACTAACTGCACGTGTGGCATTCTGTATCACACGCCCGTCCTGCCACTCTCAAAGACTCACACCCTAATACTTTCCCCTGACCATGAGAGAACGAACAGTTGAAGCTAAGGTGTAAGTTTGGTACATTTTGGCCTTAATACAGCCAGCCAGAGTATGTTGCTCGAGCCAAGGTTATGGGATGAACTGAACGTATTAATCTCTGATACACCGAACCCTAGTGAGGGATTCTTGAAGCTTCATACGATAAGTTTTTCTCATAACCGTAGGATTAAAAAACATATTAAACTGGCTAAATAAAACTGAAGAACTTAAGATTCCTTCAAAATGACATAAACACTTTACTTTAGACTTGAACTTAATATACGCTCTCATAACTCAAGTTAAGGGACAGTATTAACTTAAGGGATCTTTGAGAATCTGGACCTGCGGCTTATTTACACACACACACACACACACACACACACACACACACACACACACACACACACACACACACACACACACACACACACACACTGCCTGCCTCTTTACTCTGACAGCTTCATTTTGTCTTAACATATGTCTGTCTGTGTGTGTGTCGGAATCATTTAACACCTGTACGTGATGTTGTTGTTGTCTCGTAGTGTCACATAATTGTTGGTGATCATTTATTTTATATTCCATTTATTATTTTACATCATGGCGGAACATAACACACATACACGACATATTGGGAATTTTATTTTTTCTCTGTCAGTGTTATATCTTGATGTTTTGTGTCGATTTAATTTTTGGTTTAACAGTGGATACCTTGTGAGTATTGTGTGTGGTTATGGTGTAGGTAAGTATAGTGGTACTTGAGAATTTAACTATATATATATTATTAAAGTGGGTACTGTGCTGTGTTATGTCCGTAGAACTAACTGATACCGGGGTTCCTACACTGTCTGGAAAAAGGGAAAAACAAAGAGAGGGGGAATTTTGGGGTTTTGTTTACAGTCTGAGGAAATATTTTGAAACGTGTTAAATTTTAGATAATGGGAGAGAGAAGGAGGAGGAGGGAGGGTGACATTTTGTGGATCTCTGGACCTTTTGATCTGACTGATACAAAAGTTACCAGTCTGTTGTGGGTTTGTTATTTATTAGAAAAACTCCTGATTTAATTAACTTGTAAATTTTATATGAACGCGTCATCCAAAAGTTTGAGAACATTGCCAGAAAGAAAGACTCAGGTATTTCCGGTAGAAGAGAGCGCCAGTGTAGGCAGAAGACAGGCGAAAAGTAGTGTTATTCCTGTAAGTGTTTCATGGGTGGATGGAGTACACCAGACACTGATTATTGCTGGTGTTGAGGGAGGTTGGTGGTGTTGATGTGCTCACTACACCACCAGGGAGTAAAGTGACACCACTCTACTGCTTATAGTGACTTCCTGTTGACTATCAGTACCGTGAGAATCTGTTTCCGTTTGACTGTTTATATCATCATCATAACCCCAGAACGGAAAGACCTACCCCTAAACCTTACTATCTAGTCAAGAATGTCTGGCGTTCGTGTCGCCGAGGTTGGGTGGTGGTATGATACAGGCAGGTAGTGATGGTGGGAGAATAGATATTTAGTTGTGAACAAAAAGATGGTTTATAATCTTGTTAAACACCACCTTAAACCCAAGGAAGAGGGGGGTAAGTGTCACCTGTGGGTAGATTCATTCAGTTGTATATTAGTTTTATCATATCGTTACGTACTGATTTGATTATCTCATATTAATTCGTTATTTTGTCACTCGTATTTGTTGATGTTCTCCCCCCCTCCCCTCCCGGCTACCCCACATAGGTAACATTGATGTACCTTTCTTCGACTCCCTTCATTAACCTTATCCACAGGTGTTATTGCGTAAATCACTGTAAATATTACTATGCATATTTGGTAGGAGGGTCGGTTCTACAGGTGGACTTCAGTAAAGGCAGATTCCACTGGTCACAGGGAGGGTGGGGGGGGGGGGAGGTCGTCTCTGGAGCAGATTTTACAATACTTTAGTTAATATTATTTATGGTTATTTTCCCCCATACTGGATATAGTTACTCACGAAGGCAATACAACAACACTACGTCATTCAATACGTGATCGTGGCTGGGGGCCCCTTTTGATATGTGAAACCAAGACGTCACTACAGTTGTGACGTCTTCAACCATTACATCATCGGTCTTGCGTATTTATCTTTTCAGCTCAACAGTTAACACCTCCTGCTGGTCGTAGTCAGTGCTCGGGAGTTTCAACACATTCTCACTTGAATGTTGCAACTTCCGATCTCTGAAAAGTCGCCGCTCTGATTTTATGTTGGGTCGCTATGGGATTTTTCTGTTGGGGTCTTATTTACGTAGGACACACACACACACACACACACACACACACACACACACACACACACACACACACACACACACACACACACACAGTAAGTTAGAATATATAGTAACTTAGTAATTTCACCAACGTGTATTTCGTACGTGGCTTCCAAACAGTCAAGCGCTTTTTTTGTGGAGATATAAAATTCACACGATCGTATACAATTAGTGAACACACAAGCAAACTGACGCAACGCATGAATGAACGCATTTATCTACCACACACACACACACTTAACGCATATATTTTAACGCACTTATACCGCATATGTTATAACGCACTCATTTACGTCAGCATTTGTCCGCCTAGTGCTGCACGCATAGAGAAAAGCTTATAGACTTAAGGTGCATGTAAAAAAAAAAGTCAATCCCAAATATCGAGTTTATCACAAATTCGTAAAGTTTATGGTGAATTGATGGTCATAGTTACATTCAGACACTGTGGTTATAGTGTATGGTGAAGACAAGGTCACTATGTCTTACACTATAGTACACAGACATAGTGGTGTGTAGGTCTTGAGTTTCATGCAATTGTTTGGTGTTTGTGGTTTCTTGTGGTTTAGTTGTTTACATAATTTGTGTGGTGATATGGGCGTTGTTTGTGTGTTGCTGGTGTAGTGTTTCGTCTCTGTGGTCTTGGGGTGGTGTCTCGTTATTGCCTCTTGCTTTGCCTTTTTTGCTTTGCCTTTTCGTTATCTCCTCTTTCGTTATTGCCTCTTGCTTTGCCTTTTCGTTATCTCCTCTTTCGTTATCACCTCTTTCGTTATTGCCTATTCCGTTGTCTTTTTCATTATTCGCTTTTTTTCGTTATTACACATTTTTGTTATTGTTTTTGTCGCCCTTTTTTGTTTTTACATTTTCCGTGATATTAATTTTTTGTTTTTGTTATTGACATTTACATTATTTTTGTCGTTATTGCCCTTTTTTGTTATTGCCATTTTCGTTGCCTTTTCGTTATTGCATTAATGTCATTACAGCTGTGTGGTGTTATTGTATGTGTTATTGCAGGTGTCTGTCAGGTTTATCATTGCACAGGTTTTATTGCAGAGGTGTGTTGTGTGTGTGTGTGTGTGTGTGTGTGTGTGTGTGTTGCTCAATTGGGATAATTACAAAATAGCGAATATTTTCTTCAGTTTTCCCTAAAAATCAACCAATAAATGAATAATATTACCTTACCTTACCTTACCTCACCTTACCTTACCTTACCTTACCTTACCTCACCTCACCTCACCTTACCTTACCTCACCTCACCTTACCTTACCTTACCTTACCTTACCTTACCTTACCTCCCTTACACCTTACCTTACCTTCACCACCACCCACCTCACCTTACCTTTATTTACCTCACCTTACCCTACCACCTTACCTCACCTCACCTTACCTCACCTTACCTTACCTCACCTCACCTTACCCTACCTCACCTTACCTCACCTTACCTTACCTTACCTTACCTTACCTCACCTTACCCTACCTCACCTTACCTCACCTCACCTTACCTCACCTCACCTCACCTCACCTCACCTCACCTTACCTTACCTTACCTTACCTTACCTTACCTTACCTTACCTTACCTTACCTCACCTCACCTTACCTTACCTAAAGATGTTAGTTGTGTATTGAGTTTTAATAGGACAATTATCCCTATTTAGAGTGACACACACACACACACACACACACACACACACACACACACACTTTTCCAATAATATTTTTTGGTTTACATTAATTTTTATTTATTCTTTTTTACACTACAGCAGACCGCTGTGGTGGTGATTGCATAAAGGGATAGTCTGTTATTGCAATGATATTTTCTCCTGAGTTGTGATTTAGTACCGTTATAGTGAACTTATTAGTGATTGCATATTTAGTGGTGACATTAGTGATTGCAGCTATCGTTATTGTGATGTAGTTGTTAGCCCTTGAGTACGATGATTGAACCCCTTGAGTACGATGGCAGCGTCGTACTCAAGGTTGTCATGGTACTCAAGGGGCTGTCATTGCAGTGAAGGGGCTGTCATTGTACTCAAGGTTGTCATCGTACTCAAGGGGCTGTCATAGTACTCAAGATTGTCATCGTACTCATGGATTGTCATTGTACTCAAGATTGTCATCGTACTCACGGGGTTGTCATCGTACTCAAGATTGTCATCGTACTCAAGGGGCTGTCATCGTACTCAAGATTGTCATTGTACTCAAGGTTGACATCGTACTTATGGGGCTGTCATCGTACTCAAGGTTGTCATTGTACTCAAGGTTATTATCGTACTCAAGGGGTAAACCTATGTGATTTGCCTGTAGATATACTGTGACAATAATGAACAAATTACACCCGTTATTTTGTATTGTTATTTATTAATTTTTATTGCACGCGAATCGCCTCACAATGAAGCCGACAAGAGCATGTTATTTATTGCACGATGTCTCACCAGTTATTGCATGTTGTTGCAATTAATATAGTCAGTGACGTTATTGCACCTATAGAAGCTTAATATAGTGATTTATGCTTAGGATTGAGGATTACACAAAAGGATTTACTGGATAGGATTAGCCAATGAGTGTGGTCTTGTGAGCATTACCAGGGATTAGTTAGTAAGGATTAAGTGGCGAGGATTAAGGTATTTAAGGTTGGTTTAGTTCGGATTACTTAAAGATTATCCAATAAGGTTTGCTTAGGGTGGATTTCTGGTTGAGGATTATCGGATTATGATTACATGGTGGGAACTACCTTGTTTGGATTGCCCGTTGAGGATAGGTCAGTATGGATTAATTGGATGGATTATATGGGTAGGATTACTAGGAGCAGACATGTTACTGTTTACACCATTGGATTACGATCACAAGGCTAGTTAAAGTCTTGTTTATATGAGTGTTTACAGTGTTTACATTTCAATTTGACCTGATCGTTAGGGGTAGCAGTAGATGGTTGGAGGTCCCATAATTACCCACCTAATGATGTTACAGGTAGTAGTCGTCTTGGAGGATGTTGGTAGTCGTCTTAGAGGAGGATGTTGGTGGTCGTCTTGGAGGAGGATGTTGGTGGTCGTCTTGGAGGAGGATGTTGGTGGTCGTCTTAGAGGAGGATGTTGGTAGTCGTCTTGGAGGAGGATGTTGGTAGTCGTCTTGGAGGAGGATGTTGGTAGTCGTCTGGGGAGGATGTTGGTGGTCGTCTTGGAGGATGTTGGTGGTCGTCTTGGAGGAGGATGTTGGTAGTCGTCTTGGAGGAGGATGTTGGTAGTCGTCTTGGAGGAGGATGTTGGTAGTCGTCTTGGAGGAGGATGTTGGTGGTCGTCTTGGAGGAGGATGTTGGTAGTCGTCTTGGGGAGGATGTTGGTGGTGGGAGGAGGATGTTGGTGGTCGTCTTGGAGGAGGATGTTGGTGGTCGTCTTAGAGGAGGATGTTGGTTCTTGGAGGAGGATGTAAGTAGGAGGATGTTGGTGGTCGTCTTGGAGGAGGATGTTGGTGGTCGTCTTAGAGGAGGATGTTGGTAGTCGTCTTGGAGGAGGATGTTGGTAGTCGTCTTGGAGGAGGATGTTGGTAGTCGTCTTGGAGGAGGATGTTGGTAGTCGTCTTGGAGGAGGATGGTGGTCGTCGTAGAGGAGGATGTTGGTAGTCGTCGTGGAGGAGGATGTTGGTAGTCGTCTTGGAGGAGGATGTTGGTAGTCGTCTTGGAGGAGGATGTTGGTACTCGTCTTGGAGGAGGATGTTGGTAGTCGTCTTGGAGGAGGATGTTGGTAGTCGTCTTGGAGGATGTAAGTCGCCTTGATACTTGTTAGAACGTGTCTGTTAGGTTTGGTTAGGTTAGGTTAGGTTACGATATAAGATGGTGACCGTGTTGGCGTCGATACTCTGCTTTAAGACGTAAGTAAACGTGTTGTGTCGCCCTCACTCCGTTCCGCGGCTCTGAGACTTAATTAAGGTGTATCGAGGTGAGAGGTAGAGGTGTGGGCGTGGCTGAGCGTGGCCTCCTCTCCCTCCCACAGATGAAGCCGCAGCCCATGAGTCCCACCCACTACCAGCAGCCGCCCACGCCCGACCACCCGCCGCCCTCGGCACGCCAGGCACAGATCTCCATCCACGCCAAGATCCAGAGTGTCTCCGTCCCGCCCGTGAGTACTCCTCCACTCTCACACCTGTGCACGGAGACGTTCTTGTGTTGTAGCTGTTGATGTGAGGGAGAGAGGGAAGGAGGGAGGGAAGGAGGACAGGTGTGGGTCAGGCTCACACCTCCTCCACACTACACTGCTTTCGTGTTGTTTTTCAGCATCATGATTATCACACAGAGATAAACGTTACTTATTTACACTCGCTTTGTTTGCCTACACGGGTATTATTTCCTGAACACACGTACTGTCTATGTTGTTTTGTTTTGTTTACAGTCACTGTATTTGGATAACTTAGGTATTATTGTTTGTACATAAGGTGTGGGATGTTTATTGTTTGTAGTTAAGGTGTGGGATGTTTATTGTTTGTAGTTAAGGTGTGGGATGTTTATTGTTTGTAGTTAAGGTGTGGGATGTTTATTGTTTGTAGTTCTAAGTTTACTTTTATCAAACTACTTGTCTACCATCCACCGAACGTCATCTGTACGGAAAATTATGATAGATTTATAAACATTCCTGCCGTAGATGGATTTATATACAGGTATGAAGAGTAATGTATATACTGTACCTGCACCAGCCTCCCAGGAGCGGCTCTGAGCTGCTGGGACAATGATAAGTTGATTGTAAATACTCTTGTGTTTTGACGTTTCTGTGGTATATATAAACCTTCAGCCAACTCTATGACGATGAATCCCGACTGACTGACTGAGAGAAAACACACACACACACACACACACACACACACACACACACACCAGTTATCTTACGTTCTCTGTGTTCGATATATATATATATTTTTTTTCATTTCGAATTTATAACTTATGTTTGTTTAATTATTCATATTATGTCTGTATGCCATTTTACAACCACTACTAAGAGAGTCAGTTTTGAGTGAGGGTTAGTGTGACTTGTGTTGTGCCCCAAGGAGTGTGTCTGTCTCTCTGTCTGTCTGTCTGTCTGTCTGTCTGTCTGTCTGTCTGTCTGTCTGTCTGTCTGTCTGTGGCCAATTAGGTGTTCTCTCTCTCTCGTTACCTTTAAAGTCTTTGTGTTATTTTCTCAAGTATTTTCTTTATTATTTTTATAAGGGATTTATTTTTTCGAGTAATATTAGGAGTCACTTTATGTTAGTTATTATTATTATTATTATTATTATTATTATTATTATTATTATTATTATTATTATTATTATTATTATTATTATTATTATTATTATTAGTAGTAGTAGTAGTAGTAGTAGTAGTAGTAGTAGTAGTAGTAGTAACATTATTACTATTATTTCATATATTTTACTATTAAATCTTGTAAAATGTTTGAAATGTCTCACTAAATAATTATTACATTAGTTTAAAGATACAGATTAATAGAGTTAAACAAGAGGGTCTGGGGGGGGGTGTTACACAATGAGAGGAGGGTGGGGAGGGGGGAGGGTGGGTAGGGGAGGGAGGGAGGAGTTGTGACAGCTGTGTGAGGGAAAATGATGATGATGAGTGTAGGTGGTGGTGGTGCTTGTGTGTGTGTGGAGGGTCATCAGCGTACCCCCTCCCTCCCTCCCATCCCCTCCCTCCCCATCCCTCCCTCCCTCCCTCCTCCCCATCCAACCCGACCACACCCCACCCCACCCCCAACCACACCCCACCCCACCCCCACCCCACCCCCACCCTCGTTATGCACCTACCCGCCACCATAATCGAGTGCAGCTGTTCGGCCACAACCCACACTGCTGTCATCCATCCTCCATCTTGCTTCCTTCTTCTGATAAGCTTCCGTTTCTTCTTCTGTTTTTATTGTCTTCTATTCTTTCTCCTCTGTTTCGTGTTGTCTTTTTTATGTGTCTTTTCCTTCTCTTTGTTTCTCTTCCTGATTCGAGCTGACCTTACCTTACCTTACCTTACCTTACCTAACCTGAGTGAACTTGACCCATCCTCAAGGTCAACACACCACCACCACCATCCTCAAGTGTGTTATATAGCGTGGCTCCCTTGAGTGCCACTTGAGACAATAACAACTTCCTCTTTAATCTGTCCTTCTTTCTTATTTTTCCTCTTCCTCTACCATAGTCCTCTTCTTCTCACCCCCTCCTTATCCTCTGCTTTTTCCCTGTTCCTCATTTCGGTACACTAACACCAATAATAAACAATCAGACAATTCGACCAATGATAACCAAGATTTCTATCCTATTGTTATTTCTAATTGGTTCTTTTCTTACTCTTGGTTACATAAACACACCAGGATTTGTATTCAATCTCCGCAGCTTTTGTTAAAGTTAATAATACAATAGACTTTATTTTTTTATAACGAGTACAGGGTTGCGACAGATCTCCATAAGAGTTAGGTTTATATCAGTTACCCCGTCCACTGAGAGCGTTTTTTGTTATGCGTAAGTTAGGACGTCATTAAGTATTGTGTGTAGTGGAGCGTGGTAGACATTATCCTAATCTAACTTTAATTTAATCATACTTGATCTAATCTAAGTTGATCTTACATATTCTAATCTAGTTTAATTATGCTTAAACCTGACTCTACGTAGCCTGATTAAACCTTTCCAATGCGTTAATCTAACCATGCTTAACCACTGCTAATTTAAGCTAACCTAACACTTGTCTAACCTAACTCTACTTAACTAAACTTAACACACATCAAACCTAGCCAAACATAACACCATCTTACCAAAACCTAACATAACCAAATTTAACTTAACATAACCTAACATAATTGAACCTTAAGTTTAATACAAAATAATTTAACCAACACCTAATTAATACTAATCTTATGATGCCCAACCTAACCTAACCTAACCTGACCTGACCTGACCTGACCTGACCCAACCTAACCTGAAACTAACTTAAATCGACCTAACATTTTTATCCGCTTAATATTATGTTTGCTGGGATTTTATCTGGGGGATTTGGGGGATTTTTCAGAAGTGTACTGTGGTGGGATTTTGTCCAGAAAGAAATAATCTGTGGGAGGAGGGATTTATCAATGGGGAGATAGCATGATGATATTTTAAACTCGGGTATGTGTAGCGTGTGGCGGCGGTGGGGGATGGAGGGGGGAGGTGAAGGGAGGGTGGGAGCTGGAGCAAGGGTGGAAAAGGGGAAGCTAGGTGAAGGGATAGTGGATGGGAAAGAAGTGGAGGAAGTTTGAAAGGAGGAGAGAGGGTGAGAGATGAAAGGAGGGTGGTAGAGAAGTAGGGGAGTGAGAGGGAGAGAGAGGGAGGGAGGGTGACAGGGAGATAGGAGGGAGGGAGGGAGGGAGGGAAGGAAGGTACTGAGGGGAACACATAATTGAACTTGGGTTGTATATTTAGGTGGCTACTCTGGCAAGGTGAGTCACACATTATACATTTGTTGCCATGTGAAGGTTGACACACACACACACACACACACACACACACTAGGTAGGAACTTTCATGTAGATAAGACAGACGCCAGGGTGTAGATGACAGACGCCAGGGTGTAGATGACAGACGCCAGGGTGTAGATGACAGACGCCAGACGCCAGAGTGTAGATGGCAGACGCCAAGGTGTAGATGACAGACGCCAGGATGTAGATGACTGACGCCAGGGTGTAGAAGACAGACGCCAGGGTGTAGATGACAGACGCCAGGGTGTAGATGACAGACGCCAGGGTGTAGAAGACAGACGCCAGGGTGTAGATAAGACAGACGCCAGGGTGTAGAAGACAGACGCCAGGGTGTAGAGTCAGTCTTGTTGAAAGTTTAGAAAGTGCGGATGACCTGTGTGTGACGTCATACTGAGTCATGCGGGAGTGAGTCATCGGCCGGGGTCATACGGTGTGCATAACCCAGGATGAACAAAGATGGTGGAAAATTGGGTCGTTGTTCATCCTGTAATTCGGAACAGGACCAGTAATTTAATCTAATCTGAGTTAAGTTAACCTAGCGTAACCAAACCTAACCTAACCTACCCCATACCCTACCCTAACCTACCCTACCCTACCCTATACCCTACCTATCCTACCCTACCCTCATTTTATATATTACCTAAGTCAAATTACCACAAAATCACTCAATATTGTGTAAGTTTATAAATCAAACTGTAACCTTACTGAAACATTTTGTAACGTCAGGGCTTATGGGTTAATCTTGTATCCAGGTGTTAGGTTCTTGTAATATTATGTAATGTCTAGCTGTATTTTGTGAGTGAATTTCGAAAGTTTGTTGGTGTTGTATTTTTTTGTAGTTTCAGTAGTAAGTTGTATTTTATGTAGTAATTTTGTATCTTTACTGTAATTTGGGGCGATTTAGTTTTTTCTGTTGTATTTTGTAATTACTGTACCTGTATCTGATGTTTATTTGGTGAGTTAATTGTAATATACTTTTATTTGTACCGTTTTTGAATTATCATTAAATTACTGTACCTGTACCTGCAAATGTACCTGTACCGTAACTTATAAATGATTATACAGGGGAACTTAGTGACTGTATCTCTTCAGTCGGGTTTAAATAATTAAGTCAGATGAAATAAACTTGAAATAAACAGAAATTAAGTAAACAAATAAAACAAAATTGAAATGAAATAAGAAATAAACAGAAATGAAATAAACAAGAATTGAATAAACTTGAAATAAACAAACTCAAATATATCAATGTCATCGTCTCTGTAGTGTAAGGGATAAGGTGGTATAAGGGATAAGGTGGTATAAGGGATAAGGTGGTGTAAGGGATAAGGTGGTATAAGGGATAAGGTGGTATACGGAGGCAGATATGAGTGTAATGTTGACAAATAACTGGCCTGATAATTCCCCGTCTGTGTGTTGGTAAGAATGTGGAAATCAGGGTTAGATATTGATAATCCTGGGTATTATAGATAACGATGTTGATAAGGATGTTGTATGTTGATGTGAAGAAATGTTAGTATGAGGGGTCTCTCTCTCTCTCTCTCTCTCTCTCTCTCTCTCTCTCTCTCTCTCTCTCTCTCTCTCTCTCTCTCTCTCTCTCTCGTAGTGTGCGGTGATATCATGTGTTGTTGTCATGAGTGTTA